TTAACCATCCGATGGTCCAATACACAAACGTATATTCACCCCGTTCTTTTTAATAATGATCACCACAGGAGACGCCCATGTAAAGGTTGAGAAACAGATGATCATGGCTCGCAACAGACCCGGTACTCGGATCTTTATACGGAATTGAGGTGCCACCTTCCTCACCCTATGTGCAATCCGTTTCGCGTCGATGACATCGATATCACATTTGACTCCGCGTGTGGCTGGTGTGAGTGCATTACCTTTGACAATTAGCAGATGTCAGCTTTCCCGGGTTTTCTAACGTAGTCGGTCCACTTCCGCGGGCTCGCTCACTCCCGGATCCACCTGGATATCGTCAATTGTGACTTCCTACATGGTCAGTGGCACCTCCGGGATTACCGCCATACCTTCCCCAAGATATTCTGCGTGCGGTTCCCCACCTTCATGGTAACATACCTGTTCATCCTCAGTCTTTGTCGGATCCACCTCTGGATCCAGACACCGCGATTTCCCCTCTTCAGTTGGCCCTACTACTTTTATTGAATCGGGTATTCTGGTATCTGGGGAAGTGCCTCCTGGATCGACTTGGTCTTCTGGTACGCTTACGTACGACGGCTCCCGTTTGACCAGTGCCGGCACTCTTGGCGGCATCCAGGAATTCGGTCTGATAGGCAGTTCGGATCTATCTCCGGATCCGCCGGATCTAACGGATTGGCTTCGTTCTCCTGTGCTCCATCCTCCACAGACCCCTGGCTACCTGCGGGCTGGCTCTGGGTATCTCCTGCTTTCAATGATCCAGCCGTCACCACTTGGATCCCAATCCGACGATTTCTCAGTAGAATCTTCCGCGGAGCTGGATATGAAGGTCGGTCCACCAAGGGGCCGGTCGGCTCCGCCGCGGCTTTCACCTCCCCGAGGGGTTTAGTCTCGGTAGTTGTTTCATACGCCAGATTCTGTCATTCTCTATAGCGACGAGATCCAACTAACACATACCCAGGTCGTCTAAAGATGCCATCCTTTACCAGCCATCGCCCTATTTTCTCAAACTGATCTAGTAATAATCTCTTGTCACTGACATTCGTGACCTGGGGATATTGCGATCCACCAGGTCCTTGGATCGCTGTAGGCACCCACTTTTCGCCTCGAGTGACCCACAGCTTCTCATGTTCCACCCATTTTATTCGATCCGGCAATTCCCAGGTTTCCACGGGTTTAATCTAGATCGTATTGTAAGCCCTTTAGGATTATCATCTTCGCCCCGAACCACAGTCGTCATCCACTGAGCTGGATCCGCATCTCGTCAGGGAAACACATTGTCCCATCCGCCAG